TAATGATGTCTGAAAATTCCAGTAAATACATATATAAAATATGAAGTCTTTAAAAATATTTACTATAGTTAATACATTTTCTTTATTTTTTGGCAGCTTTTTCCATAAATTGTCTCTTCAAATCCAACCATTTATCCATGCAGTTTGTATATGGGCCTCTCCCTCAGTTTCAAAAATAATATCCATCTAATCTAAAATTGTGTCACTGTTTAATTCATTAAAGTGCTCAGTCGCTCTATTTGTCAGCACTTTTATCAGATACTCCCTTACCACAGATGGTTCATTTATTCATCAAGTAACACAAACAGCAAAGACTTTAGTGCTCTAAGTTACACATCAGGGTCTTGTTAAAAGAACGATTTAAATAAAACCCTCAAGGACAAATCTGTTTGCTTTATCCAGAAGAAAAAGAATAACTAATCATGTGTGCTCCCCTGTTCTGCAGCACATCTGCTGCGACTGTAAGAAGAGCTTCTGCGCTCTGTGCTCCGTGCTGCAAGAAAACCTGCGCTGCTGCACGACCTGCCACCTGCTGCGTGGCACCGCCTTCCAGCGGCATCGCCTCATGCAGCTCCGAGTCAAAGACCTGCGGCAGTACCTGCTGCTGCGCAACATCCCCACAGACACCTGCAGGGAGAAGGAGGACCTGGTGGACCTGGTGCTCTGCCATCAGGGGGCACGGGAGACCTCCAGGCCTGTGATGGAGGAGGACGAGGACGAAGAGGAAGAGGAGGAGGAGGAGAAGGAGGATGACGACGAGGAAGACGAAGCGGAGGACGACACAGACAGTCTGCACTCGCTCCCCCACTCACGTGCGGCGTCTCCCCCCCTGGCCACGCGCTCCACCTCTGAGCAGTCGGTCCTGTCCGCCTCGCAGGGAGACGCGCTCAGCCCGAGTGACAGTTCAGGGACCACCAGCCAGGTTTGTGCTCCACCCTGCCTCACACAACACACACACACACACACACACACACACACACCACTCCCTGATTAACATACGCTGCACTTCCTTCACATCTGTCCTCATTCTGTCCAAAATAATTAATTTCTAAGGTGTAACAAACATATTTACAAGACTCACAGAGGCTGTTTGAAGTGAGACAAACATCCGTCCTCTTGTGAAAAGACAACCCCAATTCCATGAAAGTTGGAACCTTGAGTAAAATGTAACTAATCTGCAAATGTCATAAACCCACATTTTATTCGCAGTGGAACGTAGTAAACATATTCAATGTTTTAACAAACAAAATGTAGTTTGAACTTCAGACAGGAGCAACAAAGTGATCTGAATGGTATGAATAACATTTTTAATAACTGGATAATTAGCAGCAGGTCAAAAGGAGGATTGTGTACAAAAAGAGCATTTAAATGCTTTTTTCCATTACATAACTTGGACTTTTATACCTTTAAGTAGTTTTAAAATCAGTACTTTTATACTTTTACTAAAAAAAATTGTTCTAGTTCTCAAAAAGTATTTTTAAAGCCCAGTATCTATACTTCTAACTGAATCATGAATGTAAATACTGATGGGGGTGCATAATTGCCTTGAGCATGAGCAGCTTACACACCTGGAAATGCTCCATCCGTGCAGAAAAGTATAAATAGATTTTAGAGCATGCATTTGTTTTAGGGAAGGTTTTTCCTAATTCAGCAACACAATGTTCAACAGCGTCCACAACATCAATGTGGTTTTACAGTAACTGTTTGTTAGGCTCCTGAATGTTGTGAATGAATCCTAAAAATCTACACTTCATTGAGTTTTCAGCGGTCAGAAAAAAAAAAAGCCGTCCACGTGACATCATGTGGAAGCAGCTGTGTTTGTGTGTCATCTCAGGGCCGTTGTACCAGCCAGCGAGGCAGTTTAAGCTCTTTGCCTTTTATAGGTTTGTTCCATCGGCAGCTGATTCTATTATATAACGAGCAGAGTGGTTAAAAAAACACCCCACAGTGTCACAGTTATGAACAGAAACACACTTTCACCTCATTTGACTCTGCAAAATTCACTTTTTAAAGGTTTTTTTAAATGGTACTGAACTTATAGAGCGCCTTTTCAAGTCCCTCCGGACCCCAAAGCGCTTTACACTAACAGACATTC